TCTCACAAAAAGGTAGGATCAAGTTTAGGTAGCTTCAGTGCTTGTAGCCGTCGCTAAGTGGTCTATAGATTTGGATGTATTTTTTATTGTTTATGGTGTTCATTGTATTGTCAGGATTGAAGATGAATAGAGCGAAAGTTTTCTATAAAAGAAGCATTTATCCCGGTTACTAGGAAATGTGGTTTCAGGAGCCGCCCCCACAAGTTGAACTACGAGTGTATAGCTAGGAGGGAGGTGCGGCACGTACGGCAAGCACGTCCTTGTCGCGGGTCCTTGATCGAGCTAGTAGCTTAACTGTCCGGCCCGTTGATAGCACATGCATGTAGAGCAACTTGCAAGCCTCGGGGACACGTACGGAACGGAACGGTGTGCCGCTGCATTCCATTCCATGGATTATAATTCCTCCCACGGATCTTGACCTGACACGCCGACAGCCAAGCCAAGTCAGCACCTACCATCTCATTTCGAAGAAGAACTGTACGTGCCAATCCATCGATGGAATGAATCATCACCAAGAATTTCCTCAAGCTAGCTAGGACCCCACCCGTACGCTTATTGCAGGGTCTTTTTCTTTATGCCGTGCGAACTCTTTGCACTAGCAAGCATAGTTAATTAAGGTGTGCGTACGTACGTACATACGTGTAGACCGGTCGAGGACCAGGGCAAGCAAGTACGTGTAGCTATAGGAGTATTGATTACTCTTAATTGTACTGTGGAGGACTTGACAGATGAAGGTTAGCGCTCAAGTACGTCGGCGGCTGTGCATTGGCATCTCACGCGCGACACGTACGTAGCCTTCTTCTTCTTCCAACTATAAGCCGGTCTCGCTATTTGCGGAATTGATTATGGCAGGACAAACTCTAGCCGGCCGGCCGGAGAGATAAGCACGTAGTACTACATCGGTACGTGTGTGCAACTATATGAACTTCGTCGTGTGTACGTAGGTACACTCATTTCAACGAAAGCTAATTTTGGACGGAGGTTGTAGCTTGCTAACCACACATATGCCATGAGTTGTACGTATGTGCAGCTAGAACATGCATGGATGCGAACGCAAATGGAAACTAAGTAAGATCCTAGTTACTGTACAAATGTCTCTGGGTCTCTAGCTAGCTTAGCTACTACGCACTGTTAATTTGGACTTTGGACGTACGTCTCGATCGGCACAGTCTGGTTTCTGGTCACAGGCTAGCTTAGCGAGCTAGCTTTAATGAGAATCCAAGAATAGGAAGAAGAAGCTGAGTCGATCGACCGAAAACGAAAAGAATGCCGACCTTAACAACAGATGGCCGATCGAGCATATCTTGCGGTGCATTGTATCCATTTTCTTTCTTTGGATAGGAAATGAACGAGTGATGGTCGCATGTGCACGTCCGTAGCCCCGGCCGCGTGCACAACGTGGCGTTACCGTTCACCGGCGTGTGTGCAAGGCGGCAAATGGGTGTAGCCAGCCGTATAGACACGATCGCGATCGAGATGGTAGATCGACGGAAAGACCATGGAACAGTAGCGTTCACAGGCACGTAAACGTAGCGACCACCGCGCGCGCGGCTGCACATGCCGATCAGCCGCCACGACGACGATCGGCGAGGATATGCATGCATGGATGGATGCGTTTCGGGCAGGAAGGACAAGGGAGGAAGACGGCGCGGGCGGCTGGCGGCTGGGGTACTGTGCCTGTTGCGGCTCCCTACGTGGGCCGTAGCGGTAGCTCCACCTTCCGCTACCGCCGACGCACACAAGTCCGATCGTCTTTGGGATAATCCTGAATCCGTCCAAGTGGCCGGTCCATGCAATGATGCAACCGAAATGTCGTGCTACTCCAGAACTGAACACACATGTTACACGCACGCCGGTCCGAAGATCTCGTCTCAGAAACTTCTGTTATGTGGTACTCTATAAACAAGTGCGTGTGCAATACAAGTTACAGCTTACACGGTGTGCAAAGATGTACTACTACAGTATCTATCGACAGTTATTGATCTAGGAGGACGTGGGCATAGCCCAGTGGTTGGGGGCGCATGATTGTAAACCCAACGACCAGAGTTCGATCCACGTCGGGGACGAATTTCTGGAATTCTCATGAGGGATGCTTCTTCTATATCAATAAACCGTGGGTGCTAGTGCCCATGGAGTTTCATTTTTTTTTGACAGTTATCGATCTAGTCTGAAGCAGTGCGGTTATAAACGCGCATGGGCACTCACCTCTATGACCGCACGTACCTGCATTCTACACACGTATGAGCACCGAGCACCTTTAAAAAACTGAATCAGCACATCCTGAGGTTGAGTACTTAGAGCATCTCCAACAGGCGCCCAAAAAGACAGCTCCGCGCGCTAAAAGTTTGTTTTTTTGAGCGCCGGACAGCTCCAGCAGAAGCTGTAGCGCTAAAAGTTTTTGCGCGCGCGCTGAAAAACGCTATCGCGCGCGCCATATTTGGGGCGCCGGATTGCGCGCGCTTCACAATTTGCACTGTCTGTTTTTTGGGCGCGCGTTTTTGGGCACCTGCTAAAGCAAAGTTGGTCCTGGCGCTTTAAAAGTGCTACAATGGCGCACTATAATGTTTATTGGGCGCGGAATTTTTGTGCGGCTGTTGGAGATGCTCTTACGATGGGACACATTTGCAAACCTCGTGAGAGTAGCATAGCTTACGCTTACGGCTGGCTGGCACGCATTTATGATGCAGACACATACCCGTAATTCAGTTTCAGGGAATTGTCGACAGTTTCTTTCAGTCTGAGTGCAGTTTGTAAACAGTTTGCTCAAACTTGTCAACGAAGAATCGGATTCTGTTTGAACCTGCCTGAAAACCATGTGTCACTGAAAAATTACTGAAAAACCTCCAACTCCTAAGGCATTGTTAAAAGACGACTCTGCTTCAAATATGCCCAAACCCTCCAAAACAAGGCCCAATACTTTTCCCTTTCATATATTTTCCTCTTTGTTTGGCAGAGACAACCACGTCATTTTTCTACTGGGTAAATACATTATCTGCTCAACGCTAGGACCCGATGGGAACTCCCATAGCATCGTCAAGATCCTCGTCGCGTCGCCGCTCTATTCCCCTACCAGTCAACAGTATGTACATACAAAAATTGCTCACGCTTTATAGGCCACAAAGGGTTTCTCTTCTGTTGCCCCAACAAAGTCCCTGCTTCGGTGCGTGCTCCGATCGTGTAGCCCATGTCAGACGCCATATCTGACAATGCATAACAAATGATTGATCATATCAAGTTTCGGAAACAGACTTCAGAAAGCAGTGCAAGTGCTGACAGGAAAAGTTACCTCTATATTAGCGGGAAGAAGATGTATTCGGCGTAGAAGAGGTTCCAGATGAACCGGTAGTACTGTGAAATAGCATCCTGCCACACAAACAAACAGCTAAAACTGATGCACTTGGAACCCAAAAAACACATCATGCATGCATATTTACTTCTGTGAATAATCTTCCATTACTACAAATCTCTTCTAGCAAAATTCATAAAGAGAGTACAAGCCGGCAATAGAAAAATTAACTGTGCAACGACGCCCAATCACAAGAATGGAACTAATTTGCATGTGCGACATTGCAACTTCAGAGCACTTTACTTTTGTTGGTTTTTAGCATTCCATGCCCAGGACACTGCAATGCCATGTTTCCTCTCAAGAACAGAGAGATTACATGTATGATACTGAATAGCATGGGGGCTACTTATTCTACTAAAATAACCAAAACATATGCAAGCTCACAAACAACGCTTCTCCTGGCAATTTCAATTATGAAGTCTTCATATTTCAAAAGTTGCATGACGAACAAGAGCTGTGAAGAGCGTAGGTTAAAAGCCTCACCTTACTGTACTTTGCTTGCTCCAGAACCCATGTCTGAAATCATTCAACATAACAAGACAGTTAGCAAAATAAATGCATTTGCTCCAGAACCCAAGGAATTAGCTTTGAATGAGTTAAATGCTGCATTTTCCATTGAGGTTTGGGTTCCTAAGCTGGAGTCCCCAGTGATCAAATTATGTTTTGTTTGTCTAGCCTTTAATAAAGTTGGACCATTTAATTTTGGGTCTAAGAACAGTCAGACAAAAGGTAATTGTAAGCCAGTTATGCAGGATTGAACAGGGAAGGTAGAGATGTTAGAAACTCCAGGACTGATCATCTACAAGGGTCTAAGTCTTTACCTGAAAAATTAAAGCAACTGCAAGAGCAGCATGAAAAGGCACCATTACAAAGCTCCTGAAAGCCTGCAATTTTGAAAAACACCATCAGTACAACTGCATAAGGTAACACTGCTTAGTACAGAGTTATGCGTCGAAGTACTGTCTTTTTTTCAAAAACATCCACTGATCAGAAAGGGATCCTTGGGATAAATAAATAATCATAGTAAACAATGCTGCAAACTTTTACTGGTCCAATTGACCATAGATACATGTTTCTGTCAACTGAAACATTGCTGCAGTTTGAAATTTCACTAATTCAACTGGAAGCAGGGAAATAATATCAAAGGACGGTCAAAGCAGTAGAAATCCAACCTGAGGAATAAGAAAAGGTACTACAATAGCAGCAACATAATTTGCCAGCAATAAACCAGAGCCAAGGAAGGCAATATTTCTGACACCAAGCTTTGTCGCCAAAGTTGATATTTGGAATCTACAGGGGGGAAACATTATAAGTACAAGATCAGTAATTCAATTAGAGATGTCCCTTAAACAAATAAATAGTTCAACAGAACTGGCTAAGGACGCTGACTGCTAATATTCAGTCTCAAAGGAAACAAAGTAGAGAACTGTCTACATTTTTTCGAGAAAACGCAAGAAGAGCTTGCATTTCATTGCTTTGGAAAGAGGGTTTCGGTTACAATCCTCCTAGGAGGGAATTACAAGGCTGAGGGCATGTTAGTGCACGTCCCAGGTTTGGGGCAAGATGGCACGAAGCCCGAGGGCGCCGGCTCTGGCCCAGAGGGTGGCCTCGTCTTTGATCTTCGTGAGCAGGTCGGTCGTCGAGGGCTGGCCTCTGTTGAAGACGCAGTCGTTGCGGTGCTTCCATATCATCCATGGGACGAGGAGGGTCGCGGAGGCGAGGCCCTTGCGCATGAGTGTTGGGGTGGCATGTCGCGCCGTGCGCCACCAGTCGTTGAGAGAGAGCTCTCTGTCGGGCGGGGCGCAGGGGAGCCTGAGCCAGTGCAGAACCTCATGCCAAATCTGTCTGGTGAAGGGGCAGGCGAGGGTGAGGTGGTGCATGGTCTCGGGGGCCTGATCACAAAGGAGGCAGCGTGTGGGGTGCTGCAGGCCGCGGCAGGCGAGGCGGTCGGCAGTCCAGCATCGGTCCAGGCGGGCGAGCCAGTGGAAGAAGCGGACGCGCGGCGGCGCCCAATTCTTCCAGGTGAGCTTCCATGCATCGCAGCCCAAGGAGCCATTGAAAGTGGCGAGGTAGGCTGATTTGGCGGAGTAGACGCCGCTTGTGCTCCACTTCCAGACGAGGCGATCTGGCTCGGCGGAGTGTCGTGGCGCTGATAGTTTGCCAGAGCTGTAGGTACTGCCCGATCTCGTGTATGCCGATCGTGCCGTGAATGTCTCGTGCCCACTTGTTGGCCTGGAGGCCATCGGCGACGGTCCGGAGCTTGCGGCGGCGCTTGGGGGTGCAGGCGTAGAGGAGTGGCACGATCTCGCAGACGGAGCGACCGTCGATCCAGCGATCTTCCCAGAAGAGGGCCTCCGTGCCGTTCCCGATTTGCATGGTGGTAGAGGCGAAGAAGAATGAGCGCTCCTCAGCGGTGAACTGCAGGTCGAGGCCTGCCCATGCTCTGGTGTTGTCCGTGCGGCTGAACCACAACCAGCGGGTGCGGAGTGCAAGGCTGGTCCGTCCGAGGTCGCGCACGCCGAGGCCACCGAGCGAGAGCGGCCTAGCGACGCGCTGCCAGTTGACATGGCAGTGGCCTCCGTTTGCCTCTGCGCACCCAGCCCATAGGAAGCCGCGCTGAATTTTCTCGAGTGCGCGGATGGTCTTCTTGGGTGGCGCGAGGGCGAGGAGCTGGTGGATCGGTATTGCGCCGACGATGGCTTTGACGTACGCAAGGCGGCCGGCTTTGTTCATGAGATGCGCCTTCCAGGTGGGGAGCATGCCGGCCGTTTTGTCGACGACGGGCTGCAGCTGTGCGGCCGTCGGGCGATGCAGAGTCAGAGGGATGCCCAGGTACGTGATCGGGAGCTCGGCGAGGGGGCAGCCCAACAGGTTGACAGCAGCCATGACATCATCAGCGGTGCATCGGATCAAGGTGGCCGAGCTTTTGTTGTAGTTGACGAGGAGGCCTGAGGCTCGGCCGAAGAGCAGCAGGATGCTCTTGACGGCGGTGATGTCGGCAACGGTGGGGTGGCAGAAAAGGATCACGTCATCGGCGTAGAGGGAGACCGAGGGGATCGGGCGCCGGGGGTGTAATCGCTGCAGGACGCCCAGCTCCGTGGCACGGCGTAGAAGGCGACCGAGCGTGTCGACGGCGAGGACGAACAGCTGCGGGGACACTGGGTCGCCCTGGCGAAGGCCACACCGGTGCCAAATGGTGGGGCCGGGGTCTCCGTTGATGAGCACCTTCGTGCTGGCCGAGGAGAGCAAGATGGCGAGCCATTCTTGGAAGCGGTAGCCGAAGCCGTACTGCCGGAGGACCTCGAATAGGAACGGCCAGCTGATGGTGTCGAAGGCACGAGCGAGGTCCAGTTTCAGAAGGGCGCGAGGGGCCCCGAGCTGGTGCAGGAGGCGTGCAGACTGGCGCACGAGGATGAAGTTGTCGTGCAAGCTGCGCCTAGGGATGAAGGCATTTTGGCAAGTGCTGACGAGGTTGCAGAGCTTCGGCGCGAGCCGGAGCGAGAGGACCTTGGCGAAGATCTTGGCGACGAGGTGAATTAGGCTTATAGGCCTAAAGTCGCCGAGACCGCGTGCGTCCGCGCGCTTCGGTAGCAGGGTGAGCAGGGCCTGGTTGAAGGAGCAGAAACCTCGACCGCGCAGCTCGTACAGTTGCTGGAAAATGTCAACGAAGTCTTGTCGAACAATGGGCCAGCACGCACGCAGGAACTCTGCGGTGAAGCCGTCCGGGCCCGGAGCCTTGCGAGCGGGGAGTCGCTTCACAGCGTTCCAAATTTCCTCGGCGTCAAAGGGGGCGTCGAGGTCGTCGAGGTTGGTGGGCGTGATCAGCTCAGAGAGGTCGAGGCTGCAGTCGCGGGGCGTCTCGTGGCCGAGCAGGGCGTCAAAGTGCGCGTAGGCCGCGGCCGCCATGTCGCGGGGGGCGGAGATTGGGGCGCCGTCCACGGTGAGGCAATGAATCCGATTCTTCTGCCGGCGATACGTGCATTGCCGGTGAAAGAATGATGTGTTAGCGTCGCCGTCCTTTAGAGTTGCGATGCGGGCGCGCTGTCGGGCGATGGTGCGCTCGAGAGAGGCGAGGCCGAGGTAGGAGGCCTTGATCTGCCGTCGGAGCCAGTCTTCGTGCGGGGACAGGGGCCGGCTCTCCTGCGCCGTGTCCAGCCTGAGAAGGAGCTCTCTGGAGATAGCGAGCTTGAGGCGAACGTTGCCCACAGTTCGCATGCTCCAGCTAGTGAGCTTGCGCGCAGTGATTTGCATGTGCTGCATGAGTCGCCGGAAGGGGTCGCTGCAATGGGTGGAGTGCCAGGCGTCCGCCACAGTGTCATGGAATCCATCCAAACGTGTCCAGAATTCCTCAAAGTGGAAACGGCGATGACCTGGCGGCACCGGTTTGCAATCAAGCAGCAATGGGCTGTGATCGGAAACAACGGAGGCGAGGCATCGGAGATGGCACTCCCCATGCAGTTCCTCCCAGTCGGGGGTACAGAGGACGCGGTCGAGGTGCACCAGGGTGGGGGGTGACTGCTCGTTGGACCACGTGTAGCGCCGGCCATTGAGGTAGACCTCTTTGAGGACAAGGTCGTTGATCGCACGCCAGAAGCGACCCATCATGCGGCGGTTGAGATTGCCATTGCTCTTGTCTTCGTCACGGTAAATGAGGTTGAAGTCGCCACAAAGCATCCAGGGGCCGTTGCAAGCCGCCCGGACGTCGCGAAGCTCCTGTAAGAAGGCGATCTTGTCGGTGTCTAGCTGCGGCCCATAAACCACGGTAATCCACCACGGTGTGCGTGCGCCGGAGGGGGCGGATACCTTGGCCGTCAGTGTGTGTGACGTGAACTCAGGGTCCGAGATGGCTACCTCCCTGCTTTTCCAGGCAAGCAAGATGCCGCCGCGGGTGCCATCCGCGGGGAGGTAAACATAGTCGTCGAATTCCGAGCCAAGTGCTTCGAGGACAGTCGACGAGCAAACCAAACCCATCTTTGTTTCTTGGAGGCAAACGATAGACGCGTTAGCGGTTACAACAAGAGAACGAACGGTAGTACGGCGAGCGCGCGCGTTGAGGCCGCGCACATTCCAGATCAGAATCTTGGGCTCATGATCCATGGAGAAGAGGTCGACGGAGGGGCGCGTGGGCGCGGTCATGCCTCAATCGGGCTGCCGGCGACCACCGTGGTGATCGGCGCGATCGTGGGATCCGCTGGTAGCTCGCGATCAACCAGCGCGGCAATGGCCGAGAGGATGGGCAGAGTGATGGGCGTGGCGAAGAGGCCTTCGTACGCCTTCATCTCAACCGAGGTGATCCTCTGGTCGACCCCGACGATGCCCAGGGTGCGCAGGATGTGGATCTGCGAGCGCCGTTCGGCCGTTGGGGGGCTGCAGATTTGCAAGGCGTGGAGGCGGCCGAGCGTCCGCGCCGTGGGGTGAAGTGGGGAGGCACGCGTCGTGGCCGTCTGCCGGGGGGTGGGAGGGCCGCATCGATCTGCTTAGTGGCGGTGGCGAGGAAATCTCCCAGAGTCCAGGAGGCGGGCGCCGTCGCGCGTGGGCGGGATCGGCGAAGGGTGATTGGTGGGTAAGCGAAGCGTGCAGGAGGGCACGGCGACGTGACATTGGTCGCAGCCGAATGAGTCATGTGCATGCCTCCATGTTGGGTCGCCGCCTGCGCGTCCCCAGGGAGGGCCTCTGTCGGCACAGCGCCATGGTGGGCCTCATGCTGGGCCTCGGACGGGTGTGCCGTCTCGGCAGTGGGCCGGGTCGTGGCTGGCTTGTCCATGCGTGGTGGGGCCTCCACGGGATCCTCCCGTTGCTCCAGCACCGGTCCAGCTGTCGGTGCATGGGCCGCCAGGGCGGGGGTTCGGTCCGTGGACCGGTCAGCATTGGGCACAGCAGCGCCAGGGGGGGCAGCGGCAGAGCGCTGCTTTGCCCCGACAGCGGATCAGCGGCAGGCGTCGAAGGCTGGGAGTCTGGCACCATGCTGGCCAGTGATTGGCCATCCACAGGGCTATCCTGATCCCTATGCATGTCATGGCAAGCCTCATCCGGCGCCGTCATCGTGTGGCCCGCCCCAAGAGGCAGAGGCGACGCGGGCGGGCTGGCAGGGGCTGGGTTGGGGGAAGGCCGAGCCAATAGCCGTCGCCCAGCTGTCGAGCTGGTGGGTGGTGGGATGCGAGTTTCGGGGCGGGAGGACGATGGTGGCGCGGGGGGCCATCCCTGTCGCAGGCCGCCAGCCTTTCCTTTCCCCGACTCTTTCCCCTTTTGGAAAAGCGACGAGAGCCCGAGGGCCCCCCAGCAGCAGGCCAGGGGTCCATCGTGCGTGTGCGCCTGGCAACGGCCGTACGTCTACGAGGTTGGCACCACCCGACGTCGACGGCGACCCCATCGGCGCGGCCACGGCGGCTGGACACGCGACAGGTCGCGGAGTCGACAGCCATGCCGTCCGCACGACCGTCAGGGGCGTTGGGGGGGCGCCGGCGCTTGCGCCCGCGGCGGCGGCCGCGGTGGCGTCCTGCAGCGTGCTCACGACCGACGTTTCCATCATTGCCGTCCGGTGCGTCATCGTCGCTTGGGCCGGGGCCGTTGCGGGCGGGGGGCTGCGCCGGCCGGCGGGGTGTGGCCGAGGTGAGCATGATGGAGACCGGGTAGATGAGGGTGCGCATGGCTGGCGAGAGGGTGCGGTCGCGGGCGTGGTTGCGGGAGGGGACGGGCTCGACGATCTCCAGGACGGCCGCTTGGCGGATGCTCGCAGGGTCGCGCGTGCGCGCGGTGAGGCGGAAGGTGGCGAGGTCGGCACGAGAGCGCGTGCTCGGGTGGAGGCGCTCAATCCAGCAGCTGGTGCCGAGGATATGCTCGGCGGTGGACAGGTGCCATGCGTGCGCTGGAATGCCGCGGAGCTCGAGCTCAACACTGCAGTCCAGGGAACCGAGCTGTGCGTGAGCAAGCTTGTTCCATGGGCGGAGCGCAAGGGTGAACCCGGGGCCGTTGATGAAGTGGTCGCCGGCGAGGCGGTCCATGAGCTCTCTGGTCGCGAAGATGAGGAGGAAATCCTCGGGGCGATGCGCGTGGATGGTGAAGTCGCCGGGGAGGAGGTCGAAGGATGCGTACATGACGCTCTCGACGTCGCTGGCGGCGACCGCGGGTCTATCTCCGGTGATGGAGACGACCATCCCACGGCGCAGCACCAGTTCGGCCTCCTCCATCTCCACAGAGCGCGGTATGATGACGCGCACCGGGTCGACGGCCGGGGGCGGCGAAGGCTGGGGGGGCGCTGCGGCCGCCACGGGCGGGGCGGCGATGCGGAGGTGTGGCGCCTCACGGGCGACCGTGGTCGGCGCAGCGGCGGCGGCGACGGCGGGGGAAGGGGCGCGAAGGACGCCGCGCTGGTACTTCCAGCAGTCCCGCGAACCGTGCCCGGAGTAGAGGCAGCGGCGGCAGCGGACGTCGTTGGTGCACTCGCGCACGGGGTGGCCGGGGTCCAGGCGGCGGAAGCAGAGGCCAGCGGCCTCCTCCGGCGAGGGGCTG